CTGTCTCTAAAATTCCTTTCAACAGGATGGATGCGAACACTCAAAGATGTTTATCCCATAGTTTCTAACCTATTATATGACATAGATAATTGTGCAGCAGTATTTTTTATTGTGGTAAAATATACATACCATTAAGTTTATAATCTTAGCCATTTTATGATCTAAAAATCAGTGGCATTAAATACATTTACATTATTGTCCAACCATCACTACCATCCATCACCAGATCTCTTCATCTTGCAAATCTGAAGCTCTGTCCCCATTCAATACTAACTCCCCATTTCCCCTTCTGTGGCCCCTGGTAACCTCCATTCTGTTTTCTGTCTCCATGATTTTGACTAGTCTACATACCGCATATGAATGGATTCATACAGTATTTGTCCTTTTGTGACTGGCTTTTTACAGTTAGTATAATGTCCTCAGTGTCCATTCGTATTACACCATGTGTTAGAATTTCCCTCCATTTTAAAGCTGAATAATTGTATGTATGCCACACGTTTTGTTTATATATTCATCTGTCAGTGGACACATGGATTGTTTCCTGCAGCAATGTTTATGGACCCAAACCTCCCAAAAGGACCAGCGCCCTCAGGTTGCTCCAAACTGCCTGAGAAGAACGTGTTGGCACAACTCTAAATGTGTGAAAGAGGCAGGATCCTCCTGGTGAACTCGGCCAGTGTGTTTTAGCTTTGTAAGGTGCTGGCTGTATTCCCTCCACACCGGGACTGCTTTTCTCCTCACCACAGCACTGTCCCATCTGTTCTTTCCACACTTGATTGAAATCTCCCATTCTCTGGGAATTCTTTACAGATTAATCTTTCTTCAAGTGCAACTTTAATCTGTGCCCTTTCAGCACAGGTGTGGCTGTTTTGCACGTGTTAATCTGCACCCTGCCTGCTGCTTTGTGGATATTCCTGAGTGACTTGGGTTGGTCCCTAAGTGATTAGAATGTGCATGGAGATGTGTGGTCAGCTGGGGGCATCGAAAAGGAGGTGCCGGGGCTAGGAAGCCAGCGCCGTTTCTGCTGGTGGGAACTCAGTGGAACTGAGCGTGGCCATCTTAGCGCGTCAGAGAGGCCTTTTGGTGGTATTGGTGGGATGCCATGGACGGTTGATGATTCTCCCTGCCCCACTTTCCAACCCTTTCTCTTTCTGCTTCTGACCAACCACAAGCATTAGAAAGGTAAAATCACAAAAGCAATAGTTCAGAGATGGCTGGGAGTAGTGTCAGCCCGTACCCTCTGCTTTCTCGGCTCCCGGCGTCCATGGACGAGCAGACCTGGTGGTGTTGGGCTTTGTGGGGGATGCAGGCACGTTCTGGGAACAAGAAATTCTGCTAGGAATTCTCTGTGAGTGAGAAATGAGAACCATGAACAGAGATTCTTCTATTTGGGGAAGAAATTTTTTCAAGTATAAAAAACTGAATGATCAGGACAAAATGTAAAATGCAAACTATGGTTTCATTTATATGTAGTAAAAGGCTGGTGAAGTAGATAACATGAATAGTTCAGAGCTAAAATAATTTTTTTCCCCTCCCGAATCACATCTAACCTGTTTGGCTACTTTTATTTAAAAATGTACTTTTGAAACCAGAGGAGATACTGGCTTTCCTGTCCAGGAGGGTCATGTCATTCTTTAGAAAACATAATTTAGAAAGCAGCATTTTAACCACCAAACCTAATGGTGTTGAAAGTAAATATCCTCACATACTCTTATAAATATTTGTGATTTTAGTGTGTCTGGTTGTACAGCCTTTAGATTATTGTATATTAAAACATTTAAAAATATGTTTGTGTTAAAAATGGCTGCCATGCCCTGACCGGTTTGGCTTAGTGGATAGAGCGTCAGTCTGCAGACTCAAGGGTCCCAGGTTCAATTCCAGTCAAGGGCATGTACCTTGGTCCTCCCGAATCACATCTAACCTGTTTGGCTACTTTTATTTAAAAATGTACTTTTGAAACCAGAGGAGATACTGGCTTTCCTGTCCAGGAGGGTCATGTCATTCTTTAGAAAACATAATTTAGAAAGCAGCATTTTAACCACCAAACCTAATGGTGTTGAAAGTAAATATCCTCACATACTCTTATAAATATTTGTGATTTTAGTGTGTCTGGTTGTACAGCCTTTAGATTATTGTATATTAAAACATTTAAAAATATGTTTGTGTTAAAAATGGCTGCCATGCCCTGACCGGTTTGGCTTAGTGGATAGAGCGTCAGTCTGCAGACTCAAGGGTCCCAGGTTCAATTCCAGTCAAGGGCATGTACCTTGGTTTCGGGCACATCCCCAGTAGGGGGTGTGCAGGAGGCAGCTGATCGATGTTTCTCACTCATCGATGTTTCTAACTCTCTATCCCTCTCCCTTCCTCTCTGTAAAAAATCAATAAAATATATTTTTAAAAAAATAATAAATAAAAATGGCTGCCATGACCTCCCTCAAGGTGTGAACCAGGTTGTATTTCCCTGCCTTGTTCACTACACGAGATTCTCTGTGCTTGTCTCTGTTTCTGCCTTTTCTGTAAGAAGCACTCATTACTTTGTACCATTGGAAAAAGGCACAACAGCAATGTAAATAATAAAGCATCTGGATTTTTTGAAGCTTTAACCATTTCAAATGCATTTTCGGCTAACAATGTTCATTGTGCTTTCTGTTTGGGATCATAAAATTGTATTTGTTAGCCAGCCAAAAGTGAATGTTTCCAGTTAACAAGTTTATAATGTTCTGTATATAAAGTTATTTCTGGTGTTAACTCTTATTATGAGCAAGGCCCCTACTTACATTCTTTAAGAGAGAGGTAAAAGAGAGGGTCTCAGTTGTCTTCAGCTCAAAATAATCCACCTGCCAAAGCGGTATATTTTGAGGAGGCCTGTTCAGAACCCCTACACTGCCTTTAGTTGGGGGGGCTTACCTCCAAGCTGTGTGTGGTGGGCTTTGGGGAGTGGGGAGATGTCGGGTCAGCACTTCTGGATTGTGGCCAGATGCCCCTCTGTTTAGGTTCTTAAGACTGTCCTCCGAGGAGGTGCAGTTAGCCCTCAGCGATCGGGAGTCGGATAGATGAAAGGCTGGTCTGTTAGAATCATGTATTATGGGATGAAGGAGGCTTAAAACTTGGACATTGGTTTTAACATAAGAGAAGACATTGCGTCTACAGCCTGTGCCAGTTTGAACTGTATCTATGTGTATCTAGGTGCTAACTTGGCAATTGGTGGGAGGGGCCCGCAGTTGTGGGCCTCAGTCTCCTTTTGATGCACAGCTAGGTAATTTTATGATCATCTGTTTCAGGTGTATAAACTTTCAGAGAGGCAATAGAAATAAATAGACTACCTTTTATTGTTTCCTTATATAATTTTCCTGTTTATTACTTTGTTTTGAAACACTATTAAAATCTAAATTAACATGCCAGCTGTGGGAATAATCCCATTAATTTAATCAGACAAATGTATTCTTGATGCAAAGTATATATTTCCATTTCATTTTAAGGACTAAACCTCAAGAAATCACGGCCCAAATGCACAAAGATGATTATATTAAAACTAGAGGCCCGGTGCACAAAATTTTGTGCACTCGGAGGGAAGGGGGGTCCTTCAGCCCGGCCTGTGCCTTCTCGCAGTCTGGGACCCCTTGAGGGATGTCCACCTGCTGGTGTAGGCCTGTTCCCCGGGGGGTCGGGCCTAAGCTGGCAGTCAGACATCCTGCTGGCAGCCCGGGAGCCCTCAGGGGATGTCCACTTGCCAGCGGGGATCAGACCCAAGCTGCATTCGTACTTCCTTAGTGCTACTGAGGAGGTGGGAGAGGCTCCCGCCACCAGAACTGTCCTGGCAGCCGTCAGCCTGGCTTGTGGCTGAGCAGAACTCCCCCTGTGGGAGCACATTGACCACCAGGGGGCAGCTCCTGCATTGAGAGTCTGCCCCCTGGTGGTCAGTGTGTGTCATAGTGACCAGTCATTCCCAGTGGTTCTGCTATTAGGGTCAATTTGCATATTACCCTTTTATTATATAGGATGTTCTTTGCAGCACTGTTTACTGTAGGAAAGAAAGCAATTCAAATCTCTATCAATAGGGGATTAAGTACATTGCTAAAAATTCATACAAGGAAAAACTATGTAGTCCTTTAGAAAGGCGGCATAGATTTAAATTTATTGATGTGGAAAGAAGTGTATACTATGTGGATAAAAAAAAAAGCATATTGCAAGCCATACATATAACATGACCCCGTTTCACGTATGGATGTCTTTTAATGGATTCATGTAAGTATATGCATAGAAAAAAATCTGGACAATATACACAAAATGTTAGCCAGTGATTATCTCTGGGTGTCAAGATTATGGGATTTTATTATTTTTGTTTTTGAATCAATAAAGAGGTTCTCCCCAGAACAACTTAAAATACTTTTAAAATTACTGTGAGGGAAAACAAGCAGAAAGAGAGATTGGACAGAGATGGCCTTGTGGATTGAGGACAGAAGTCTTATCACATGTGTGTTTGGACACATTGGAGTGAGTGGGGAGTAGAGGATTTAAGTGGAGATCAAGGCTGGAAACCAGGCTGGCATCCCACTGTGACTGTCACTGTTTAAAAGTTTTCCATAATTTTGGACTTGAAGCCAAAGATGGTGGGTGTGACCTGAGAATGGGAGGTTAGGGGGTTGAGGGCGGGGACTAACAAGATGGCAGAGTGGGCTGGAGGGCCAGAGGTGAGTCCCATGGTCAGTTAGGGCTGAAGGACATCATAACATCGTAACACTCTCAGGTCCACCTTTGGCCTACCTCATCTCCAGATCCCCCCCAAATTGTGTTGCCTTATGAGTGATGGTGAAAAAGCCGTTTTCCAAATTTTGAGTAATGTGAGCAAAAGAAGGAGTTAACAGTTAGAGGCAAAGATTGAGGGTGATCCAGAATGTGGGGGCAGCTGGGAGAGATGCAATACCTGTCCCTGCCTCAGACCCTGAGAGGTGATGAGGGGCCAGGCTGACATCCTGCCATATATAGGATCATAGTTCGAGTCATTTTAATTCAAATGTCCTGGACAGTTTGACCCGGAAGTCTAGGGTTGTGGAGAAGATTCATTTGGCTCACATCTGGGTTAACTTACACAGACATACACCTGCGTTTCCTCTCCCAGCCAGCCAGTGCCTTCCAGGGGTGTGGAGGAACCAGGTGTCTCTGGCAGCCCACCACTTGGAGGCTGCCCAGTAGCTTTGCCGTCTTAGCATTTTGTGGGGGTGTATCATTTAATACCGTGAAAAGCCTGTTGTATGGCCTACATGGTATGGTTGAAATTTTTAAATGAGGAAAGTGGGGCTAAGAGAATTGGCTGCACCCCCAGAGTCATGCATCTGGTGTCATAGCTGGTGGAGCCTGTTCTGACACCAGCAGGTGTCACGCAGTTCAACCCCGTGCTGACATGATACTGGAGTCGCGGCAGGCAGAGCCACCCACAGGTTAGGGCCCAGTCCCCACAAGACTGCCCCAGTGCAGACACCAGCCAAAGTCTCGGGTCCACCGGTACTTCCGACTGACCAGCTATGAATTCAGGGTTCTCAGCAACCCTTTCAGGTTTGATAGTTTACAAAAAAGGCTCCCAGAACTCATGGAAAGTGCAATCCTTACAATTACAGTTTTGTTTTATAAAGGACACAAGCCGGCACCAGCCAAATGGAAGCGATGCATGGGGGTGTCTGGGAGGAGTGCAGGATTACTGCCCTTTCCCTGAGGGTGGGTCAGGGCTGTCACCTTCCCAGCACTTGATGTGGCCACTCACCCATCGGCAAGCTCCCCACACTTCTCACGTGGGTCTCAGCATGCCATTGGCCACGTGGTTGAGCTGTCTCCCCCTCTGCCCTCCTCAGAGGGTTGGGGAAGAATTCCAACCTGTAATCAATGTGTGCTCAGCCCCTCCCTTGAAACCATCCAGGGACCCACCTGAGTCACCTAAGGAGGTGTGGTCCAAGGGGTTCATTATGAATGACAAAGGACACTCCTGCCACACAGGAAATTCCAAAGGCTTTTGAAGCCTGTTTCAGAAACTGGGACAAAGATCAGCTATATTCTGCCAGGGCCAGAATCTGAATCCAAGTGTTGCCGTTTCCTTTATTTTTATTTTTATTTTTAAAATATATTTTTTTTTTGCTTTGAGGTGTATGAGCTTCTTGTATATTTTGGATATTAACCCCTTATTGGATATGTGGTTTACAAATTTTTTTTCTCATTCCATAGGTTCCCTTTTCATTTTGTTAATCGTTTCCTTTGCTGTACAAAAGCTTTATAGTTTAATGTAGTCACACTTGTTTATTTTTGCTTTTGTTGCTTTTGTTTTTGGTGTCAAGTCCAAAAAATTATTGCCAAGACCAATGTCAAGAAGCTTACCCTCTGTTTTCTTGTAGGAGTTTTATAGTATCATCAGGTCTTAAGTTCAAGTCTTAAATTCATTTTAAGTTGATTTTTAAAATATATTTTATTGATTTTTTTATAGAGAGGAAGGGAGAAGGATAGAGAGTTAGGAACATCAATGAGAGAGAAACATCGATCAGCTGCCTCCTACACACCCCCTACTGGGGATGTGCCTGCAACCAAGGTACATGCCCTTGACCGGAATTGAACCTGGGACCCTTCAGTCCGCAGGCCGACACTCTATCCACTGAGCCAAACCGGTTAGGCTGTTTCCTTTATTTTATGCCACCTTCTGCAGCCACCGTGACCGCCTGTATTTCACACTGCCCTTCTCAGGCCTGCACCTGCTGCTTCTGCCCTGGACTGTGGCATAGTCTTCGGCCCTGCCCCTTTCTACTAAGCAGTGGCTGTGCCATTCCTTGTAGATAATTTGAACCTCACCCTTGCTTCAACCCAGTGACTTTTACAGAAGTCTCGGAGGCCCACCCTTCCCAGGGAGCTGACCCGTTGGGGATGGCTGGGATGGCAGCCAGGAATCCGCAGGCTGGGGCAGACAGGTTCCTCCGTGATTCCAATACATGTGGCCTTTGGTGGTCAAGGCAAGTCCAGATGCTTTAGGAACACAGGAGTGGGTGAGAGGAGGCTTCCAGGGGGAGGGGATGAGATCCATGTTGAAGGCTGTTTCTTATTTTTCTCCTTCCAGCCTCTCCTGGCATCCCCTGCCTGAGCAGACCAGCCTCCCGAGGCTGGTATTAAGCATCAAGGCTCTCCTTTTCACTGCAGTCTACCTTTCCATTTGTATTTCTTACTGCCCTTCACATCCCCTTCATGCAGCAGGCTGAGTGGACCATTTGCATCTACACTTGCCTCCGTTTACCTAGGTACCTCATAGAATATAACAGGTGCTCAATTGGTTTAATACTGTAACTCTAAAGACCAAGTACAGGTTGTTTTTCCTCTCTGCATAAAATTAGAATGCATTGATGTCATAGCATAGACATAAGGTAAAGTAGGTTCTGGACCCAAATCCACTGGGTGTGTGTGTGTGTGTGTTCCCCACACATTCAAGCAATCCTTCGACACCAGCAGGGTGACCAAGAATTCAGCTGAAGCTGACACTGTCTACCAGGCGACAGCTTCAGATCCCACAGGTTAAGGGCGCAGTCCCACAACAGAGCCTGCCTCATCACCACTACTTCTGATGCCAATTGAAAAAGTCCAAGTTGTCATCTGGGCTTCTGACTGCCTACTGGCTATGAATCCGAGGTTCTCACAACTTGATCTTGGGTTTGATGAGTTTGTTAGAGGAGCTCACAGAATTCAGGAAAACAGTTTACTTACTAGATTACCAGTTTATTATAAAAGTATACAACTTCGTGAGGAAAGAGTGCAGAAATGAAAATGGAGTCATTATAGTCAAGCTGCTAAATTCCTAAAATCAAGTAGGCTGAGGCCTGAGGAAATGAGTTTACTCTTGCTTTAACTAGCCTGGGAACTTAAACTTTTGAACTCTCCAGGTATGTCTGGAGATATATGTACAGTATATCCTATATATAACCTCATCACCTCTGAAGGACTTATAACAGAATATTCACATACTTAGCCCACCTGACATCCATGACCCAGACCACCGGACATCTGGAAGATTATCATCTCAGGTCAATCTAGAAGCCAAGAATGCATGACTGAATCTTTTTAATAATGTAATTTTTCCTGTAAGAACTCTTATTTTTCTTTCTTTTTTGAAACACTCAGGATATTGCCTAGTTGTGTTTCCATTTTGCAAGCCCTAAGACCCTTGAGTAAAAATCTTTATTTATTTCTAACCAAAGCCTCCTGATTCATTTGCATTCTGTAGACATCAGGAACAGCCAATAGAATAGATGGAGGAGAGGCATAGGGCAGGGTATGGGGAAAGGGTGAGGGGTTGCCATGCTCTGTCTCCAAGGCACCACTATCCCCAAATTTCCACGTGCTCTCCAACCTGGAAACTCTGAACCCCATTCTTTTGGGTTTTTATGGAAGCTCCATTACCTAGTCACAGTTGATTAACTCATGGGCCATTGGTGATTGATTCAACCTTCAGCACCTTTCCCCTCACTGGAGGTCGAGGTGGGGGGGATGGGTCTCTAAGTTACCATTCTCATTACAAGTTGGTCCCCCTTTGGATGTTGGCAGTCAGCCCACATCCAAAGGGTCTTTCCAAAAGTCACCTGCCTTTGTCCTAGACTGAAGGGGTGGCTGCTGGCCTATGAACTTGGTGATCTCCCCCCCACCCTTGCTTGACACCTGTGTCACAGCATCAGTATTGATGTAGCTTTAAACATATTACTTAGTCTTTACCTTGATATTCTTATTGATTGGTTGGAATTATTGGACAGATTATACATACACATGGTTCCAAATTCAAATGTGAAAGAGCACATGCAGTGAAAGTCTCCCTCTTGCCTCTTTCTCCCAGCCACCCAGCCTCCCTCCCAGGAGGCCACCTGTGCACCAGGTTCTGCCTAGCTTCCCCCAGATGTGGAGGGATGGGTGAGTGGGCGCACCTAGTTAGAGTGATGGGGAGGTTTGGCTAAAGCAGGTGTTCACACTGGCAGCTTTTGGGGTGCCTTATTTAATGGATTTAAAGCAAGGAGTTTCTTTTCTCTTCAAGTCCAGGAGGGAATCCAGGCATCTAAAAACCCTGAGTGATTAAATCTTAAGATTGGAAGACTTTGTAGATAGGATAGCATCCAGGATGGCCCAGGATTAGAATAATCCTCCAGTCTCGGATTGAGCACGACTTTCTGTGGCATGCCACTCCATTATTGATCACTTACTACCTTTTATAACTCATTGTTACTGTTACGTTTTCCTCCCTGCAGCCTTCCTGGGTTTACTGAAGTAGCACACGAGTCTATTTGCCTCTTCGATACCAGCCTTGGAGAGTCCAGTGTTTGCAAGTGAAAAACGTCAGAGGGACTGCCACAGCGCCCAGCTATTCTTAGTTATCTGCTGTCTTTAGCTGACGTAGTCAGGCCACCATGGGGCCAGCAGGCTGCCCTCCTCACAGGAGGTTTAAGGAAATTGTGAGGCTGGCTCACCTCTTAAAAAGGTAGCAAAGAAAACCTGGGACATGACTATTTTGGGAAGTCTTGGGAACTGCTATTTTAATCAGAAATGAACCCGAGTTGAAGCCTATTGGGGGAACATGATCACTCTTAAATGTCTCCTAAGTAGGATTTGGCAAATACTTTAGATATAACAATCAACATGCTTCTCTATTGGCCAGTGATTATACTTAAGCAAATTAAAGGGCTAATTCTTAGTTATAGATCTGGGGAGTGGGATACAGAGTCATCTCGTCTGTCATTTTCTGTGTCTGTGTTCAGTGGTGGTTCCTGATGACTGTGGACAGGAGTGTTCCTTTGTGGGAAATAAGATAACCTGTGGGAAACCTCAGTGGCTGTGAACGTAGGCAGTGGAATGTGGGGACGTCCTTGGGCCGGCCACCCCACGCTGGAGAGCTGGGAGACATGCAGAGGGAAATGGCAGTGTCTCAGGGTCCAGTCTGCTGGATCTCTGCATTAGCAGCTCCTCCTCCTGAGGTCTTGGAATTCCTTTACTGGATGATTCTGTCTTTATTTACATAGATCTGGGATATCCTCCGAAGCCTGTGGGAGGAAGTGTGCTGATAAGGGAAAATGAGGATGGCAAATTTTTTAAATTTACCATTTATTTTAAAGTGGGTGAAAATAAAGAAAAAATTCAGTGTCATTAAGTATATTCACAGTGTTAGGCAACCATTACCACTAGTTCCAGAACATTTTCACCACCCCAAAGCCAAAGAGGATGGCAAATTTCTGATATATCATAATTCATCCACACAGCAAGATCGCACAGGGACACAAGATGGTGTAATTTTGTTACTGGCCCAACAATTTAAGTGCGATGTCCATGATGTTCTCCTCAAGAGATGCACACATTCACTCTTCACGCATCACCTGTGTGTAGTAATAAATGAAGTAGCAGGGGTGGAGTGCATAATCGTTTCCCCGACAATTAGACACGGTGACGACGCTGGAGCCCCCATGCAGGTTTAGGGTGGATGGGATTGCAAAGGTAGGTTCCCACTGGGGGATTTATAGGCAGGGTTGTGGATCAGATCATATATTTGTGAATAATTCTTTAAGAGGGAGGCTTCGTAGGTTCCCACTGGGGGATTTATAGGCAGGGTTGTGGGTCAGATCATATATTTGTGAATAATTTAAGAGGGAGGCTTGAACATATTTGGAGGGGAATTTCTGTAAAAATTTAAAAAGTAGAAGTTAATAAATATTTTTTGGTTTGTTTGCACAGATTTTCATTAGGGTAAGTAGCTACTCACAAACCACCCCTCACTTCAGGGTTTTATCTGATACCAGAGACAATTGGGGTTTCATCTCATGACCCAAAGAGCAGAGTTCTTAGAAAAAAAAATCTAATATGTCAAATGGTGAGGGACTAATAGGACCAAGAGCTCCGGAAGGGTCGGAGCCAGAGCTGACTGAGTAGCACATGCTGACGTTACAGGGGACTTTTCTAAGTTTGGTTGCTGTTGTGAGGGAAGTGGGTTTTTAACAGTACTTTCTCATGGGGGGATTGTTGTGTTCATTATGTGTTTTTTCTTAAATAAAACATAAAGTAGAAATGAAGGAGGAATGCCATAAAACATAAAGTAGAAATGAAGAAGCAAAGATAGAAGCTAAATTTCAAACTCTTACCATGACAGTACAACACATTTACTGAACACAGCGATCTGTTTCCCAGCTAGAATCGCACAGCCTACATCTCATCCAGCCTTCTGAGGTTTTCATAGTTCATAATCGATTGCCTACTTCAGAAAGCCTGAGATATATATTATACATATCCAGACTGGACTGAAATAGGTTTGCCTTCCAGGAATTTGTAGTAACCAGAAAGAAGTTTAAGATGAAAGTGAAAAGTCTTGTCTTGATTTCTAATCTGCAAACTAAAAAAAGTGAGTCTGGGCAGAGGTGAGGTTTCAGCTGCCTATTCAGTAACCATCAAACGAGGGTCCAGCCAAACCTCATCTGTCTTGGATCAAAAGTGAATTTACTAGAATGGTAAATACTAGTAACAAATGTGACCCAATACTTTCACACTTCTCCTCTGTGTAATTTCCTTTTTATAATTCTGTTGTTTCCAAAGTGAATAACAATATGGATTTGTCTCTCTGTCCACGACACTTGGTTTTTCTTGACACAACAAGAACTCTCCTATATCCTGCGCTTGGTGCGCTCTGCCCCATGGCTGCATGTGGGGACGTCATCAGAGTGTTTTGGGGGTAGCGTGGGCTTACTCCTGAGCTGGTAACCCCAATTGTTGAGCGTTATTTTAAATAGGCCTCCGTTTCCAGAATATAATATAGCAGAAGCGGTGTGAGCCACTGATGCTGCTTGGCTGGGAGGTCAGACTGAAGAAGAGAACTGCTCATGATATGGTCTACCTGCTTCCAGGAAAGAGTTGGAGTAGCTTATGTAGTGAAGTGCAGCATCAGGCAGGACATGAAAAGGAAATGTTAGCAGAACGTCGCTAACATTAGCTTGTTGTTTTCTGAAAGTTAAAGTAAAAAAGGAAACGTTCCTCTGGATCTGATAAGACATTCAAACAGTGTACCCAGATCTTGGAAGAGTTGCTAAATTGGGTACAGTGCAGGTGAAGCACGACTTTTGCCCACATGCATCCATGCACTTGTTGTATGTTTGCCCTTGTACTCTGATGTAAGCATAAGCAGAGCAGGTGCGCCACACCTTGCATTGCAGAGTTGCTTACCTGTGGACCATGGTTATGGTGCTGGTTATGAGAGCAGTGTGGGTGGAGGGTGAGATTTGGAGCCCCATCCAGCTACCCTGGGTTTGAATCTGACTGTATCACTTAGCAAATGTTTGTTGATCTTTGGCAAGTTTATTTAGTTTTTCTTAGTCTCAGTTGTCTTGTCTGTAAAGTGGGGGTTTTAATAATGCCTTCTTCATGGGAATCTTAAAATGATTCAATGAGAAAATATACGTAAAGCTGTTAAATAGTGTCTGACCTATAGTAAGAACATAAAAAGTAGTAGCTAATTTTATAGGAAAACACGTTTTATAGGCTAGCCAGGCTTTCTCCTGAGATAGGAACTTCAACAGTTGAGTGTTAGCTTTGCTTCAATTTCTTGAAAATAGTGTAAGTAAATATAAGTCACCAATGCCACTCAGCTAGGAGGGTCAGGCTGATGAAGGAAAAAGAACTGCTAATTAGGAGTTCTAGTCTTCCATCTTCCAAGAAGGATTTGAAGTATAGTTTATTGGAATTAAAAAAATAAAAAAATCAATGTGAAGCTACAAACAATAAAAAAAGTTCTGTTCCGAGTTGCTAAAAAAAGTGTATTAACCTGGCAACACAAATTAAATTAAAATTGGAATAGTTTCTAGCATGTTAAAATAATGTTTATAATACATTTCAGTGTGCAGGTTTCCTATCAGTATAGCTTGACAAATTTGTTTTGAAAATCTGTGCCCTAATGCTGTACACCTAATAGAGTGTGCATTCTAGAGGGAGAGACTGACAGTAAACAAATCAATTATTAAAATTACATAATAGGCAATACCAAGTATTGGCAAGGATGTGGAGCTGCCAGAACTCATATATATAATATATGTATATAGCTTGTGGGAGTATAAACTAAGAACCACTTCAGACAACTGTTTGGCAATATCCAGTCAAATTAAATATATGCAGCTGAGAACAACCCACACATTTGTCAACAGTAGAAGAAGAACCCACAACATAATTCATGATATGT